AGCAGTATCAAAATACTATATTTAAAGTCTACGCTATTGAGAATTACATTAAATTTCAACAGTCTAAAGCAGAGTTTCTCAACCTCAATACCACTGATAGTTAGGGACAGATAATTATTGGTTGTAGGGGCTGTCCTTTGTTTTATAGGATGTTTAGCAACTGGCCGCTGCAGACTTAGATGCTATTAGAAACCTGCCAACCTCTGCCATTGTGACAACAATGTCTCCAATGCAGCTAAATATCCTCTGTGACAAAACTGACCCTGTTTAAGAACCTGTGATCTAAACACTCTAATTTTTTAAAAAAGCAAAGAATGTCACATTGAACAAAAAGCAAGATCTAATTCTATTCGGTTCATATAACCCACTAACATATAAATCCAGAGATAAGTTAAAATATGAAAGGATGGAAAAAATATACCATACAACCACTGAGGTAGCTGAAGTTGTCTTCAGGATAATCAGAGTTTTTGTTTGTTTGTTTGTTTGTTTTTGGTACCAGGGATTGAAAATAGGATCTTGTGCTTGTGAGGCAGGTGCGGCGCCACTGAGCTAAATCCTGGGCCCATCAGAGTTTTTTTTTTTAAAGAAACATTTAAAAATAACTCATAACAACCCTAAATGTGAATGCATCTCACAACAACACTTCAAAATACAACAAGCCCAAACTGATAGAACTGAAGCAAACAGAAAGATCCACAAATATAATTCAAGATTTCAGCAATCCTCTCTTATAATTGATAGAATAGGAAGAAAAATCAATATGGACAGAAAAGATCTGAAAAAAAATGTCAAGCAACTTGATCTAGTTGATTTTTATAAAACTATACTCAATAAGAGAAGAATAGACACATTTTTTTTTTTTGGTACCAGGGATTGAACTTGGGTCCTTGCGCTTGCGCAACAGGCGGCAAAACCACTGAGCTAAATCCCTGGCCTGAAGAATAGACACATTTTTGAAGTACACATGAAACTCTAAGATGGTCCACATCTGACTAATTAAACAAATCTCTATAACATTTAAAGAACTGAAATAATATATTTTCTGTGACCAAAATAGAATTACATTAGAATCAATTAGGGCTAGGGATGCAGTTCAGTGGTAGAGCACTTGCTTAGCACACACAAGGCCATGAGTTTGGTTCCCAGCACTGCTAAAAAAATAAATGAATTAGAATAAAGTAACAATAATATCCCTGAACTCAAATATTTGAAAATTAGAGAGAAAACTATAAACATCCACAAGAAAAAGAAAAAAGAGAAATTAAAAAGTATCAAAGTGAAATAAAATAAAAACACAACCTGTGACAGGATGAAAATAGCCTGATAAAAGATATCTATGTTCCAATTCCAGAAACCTGGGGATGTTATCTTATATGTCAGCAAAAGAGACTGTCCACATTATTAAGCTAAGGATGTTGAGCACAGAGGATTATCCTGGATCACCAGGCATGGGCCCTAAATACAATCCCATGTATACCAATGCTAGAGGCACAGAGAGATTTGGTCATACTGGAAGCTACAGAACACAGACAGAAATTGGAAGATGCTGGCCTAGAAGATTGGTGTGATGTGACCACAAGCCAAGGAATGCTGGCAGCCACCAGACATTGGCCCTGGCAGGGAATAGATTCTGCCCCATGGCCTCTGAATGGTGCAATGTTCTACCATCTCAGACTTCTTGCCTTAGAACTGTGACAGAATAAGTTTCTGTTGCTTTAAGCCACCAAGTGGTGATTAAATCACCAAGTGGTGATTTGTTACAGCAACCAATTCATTGTTCATGTTCAGAATAAATTAAAAATCTATGAAGGTTCTCAATAGTAATCTAAATGGGGAGGGGATAGTACATGAAGAAATACAGTTCTATACTTTTCAAACCTGTCAGGATTGAATATTTTATGGTTTCCTTGGTAATCTTATTTTCATTTTACTGCTTGTAAATAAAACCAGAAATATTTCTATAGTACTGTTAGACCCAGTGAAAGAGAACCAACCAGAGACCGATATTAAATCCATAGAGGAGTTTATTACTGGCCGGGACTGAGCCAAGCATCAGACTTGAGCCCCAACTGGGGGGAGACAAACATGTTTTATACACCTTTGAGGCTAACAGTTTCTAGGCCCCCCTATGGGATAGAACTAGTAAAGCAAGCAAAAGGTACAGAAGCTGAACGTCCCGCTGTTAGAACATTTGTAAAACAATAGTTGATTAATTGTTATTTCTTAAGAGACTTTTTAAGGGGAGATTTTTAAGCTTCCTCCTTCTGAGCTCCTCTAAAGGGCAGGCAGGTGGGTCAAGCAGCAATATGGAGTCTGTCTTGCTAACTAGGGTCCTTCAGTACTACTTCCCTAGAGGGATATTTTGTGAGTAACCCTACATGACAATGCATAAAAGCTGAAATCACCACCTTAACTCTGTTCTTTGTTTTTTCTGTGCAAAGAAAAATCTTTGCCTACTTCTATGGGGGGCGGGAGGTGTCATCTGGTACACTTTTATTTATTAAGCTCTTAAGTCTCTGAACATGGTTATATGAAACATAAATGACTGTGTAACAACTCCATGTTATTTAAGACAAATTTACCCTGCCAGCTAGCTCACAGAAATCTTGTAATTTATCTGAAGCTAATTTTCACATCATTGATAGTGGCTAGTGATGAAAGCCCTAACTGATATTTCTTGATGTTCTCTATATTTGTTGGAGTGTTCTGTTCCCTTATCTCTATTTTTGTGACTTGAATGGCAGCAGGGGCTGTCTCTCCTATACAAAGCTGAGACAAATGTCTTGCTACTTCTTAATAAATGTTAATCAGATCAGGTAGTAACTTTGCCATTCAGACCTGGGGACAGTAAGTCCTCTGTCATCACATGTTCTGGAGGCTCCTGCCATGCAGTCCTTGTGGCTGTGTGGGGACACACCAATAGGCTTCAAAGATTTCAGGACAAAGCCACGTGTGGTGGCACATGCCTATAATCCCAGCACTCCAGGAGGCTGAGGCAGGAGGATCACAAGTTTGAACCCAGTCTGGGCAACTTAGATACTATCTCAAGATAAAAAATAAAAAAGAACTGATATGTAGCTCAGTGTGAAGGCTCTATATTTAATTCCTGGTAGCACCACCACCATCACCCCCCTCCCCCCAAATCAGGACAAGTAGGTAGGTTGGGAGGCTCCCATGTCTACATACTAAGGCCTTATCTGCCACTTGGCTCCTTCTGCCAAGGGAGAGCCATGGTTTGCCGGTGCTGTCCTGCACATGAGAAGTGACACACAAAGGCACCAGGAAAGCATAGAATTGGATTTGGATTTGCTTTTCTAGTGGTGGTGACTTCCTGAGTACCATTAAACTGCACCCTTAAAACAGTGCTTCACAGACTTTAATGTGCAAGAGAAACATCAGAGAGCATGAAAAAAAAATGCAAGTTCCCTGGCCTCACCCCTAGACACTCAATCCAATAGATCTGGATGGGGCCCCAGAACAAGCTCTGTAGGATTTTCTAGTATTGATTATTTAAAAATCACTGGGCTACAGTTTCCTCCATTGGAGTAAATGAACAAAAGGCAGCTTTGTGTACCAAGACTCTATGAACTAATGCTCTATTCTACAGTATTCACACTGATTCCTTCAGGTCTCTTTTGCTATCTGTTCACTCATTTGCAAACTGTGAGTACACATAATATTCCAAAGGCATGGGAAAAGTCTCCTTCTGTCCTTAGCAGCCAGTCACCCAAGCTTTTCACCCAAGTAAATGGTGGCATCTACTATTGCAGTTTTCTGTGTATTATGAAGATATCCTATGTATACTGGTAAATATAAGTACAGACATATATATTTTTTCTTCTTGCAATATAACACGGTATTCTGTACCTAGCTTTTAAAAAAATCTTTCACTTTATATATTGGAAACCTTTTTGTATGACTACATAGAAATCATTTATTTTTTTTAAAAAAACTGGATAGGGCCGGGGATTTAGCTCAGTGGTTCCACCACCTGCCTTGCAAGTGCCAGGTCTTGAGTTCAATCCCCGGTATCAAAAAAAAAAAAAAATTGCTGGGTAGCATTCCACGGTATTGATGGTGTAATTATTTGTACAGTCTTTGTGTGTGTGTATGTGTGTGTGCGTGTGGGTGCATGTGTAATTGGGGATTGAACCGAAGGCCTTTGCACTGAGCCACATTTTCACACCTTTCAAAAAAATTTTTTATCTTGAGAAAACATCTAAATAAGTTGTTCAGGCTGGACTGCAGATTGCTGGTATTACAGGTGTGAGCAATCACGCCTGGCCTGTCTTTCGACAGATGGTGTTTGCTTCCAATCTTTGCTAGTACAAATAATATACAATGGATGACCTTGTGCTCATTTGACACCTATGTCAGTGTATCTGTAGGATAAATTGCAGAAGCAATCACTGGTCCACATCTATATGTGCATTCATTATTCTGGGAGATATTGCCAAATTGTCCTCTACAGAGATTTGATTTTTGTTAATCTAATAGGTAGAAATACTACCTTGTATATTTGATTTGCAGGTGACTTTGAGTATCTTTTCATGAGCCTGGGTGGCACTATATTAAAACCTTGAATGATCTCTTCTCTTTTGATATGGTCTTTTCTTATTAATTTATCAAAGGTAGACTTTTTTTGGCAACACACACACACACACACACACACACACGAGTGCACTGCTGTATAAATTTATTAGTCCTGGCATGAAATCTTGTCTTTGCTACTTGCTGTGTCACCTTAGGCGAGTTAAACTCTTTGGGCCACTATGTGCAAAGGTCTGGCATATCAACGTGGTCCTAAACCAGGGCGTCTTCTGGGACACACATATCAACGAAGCCCAGGACATAGTTCTCCGCTGGGAAATCCTGCCTAGGAGCCAACGCCGAGGCGTCGGGAGGAAGCTGGGCCTCGCTCCTTAAAGCTCAGGTCTCTTTTTTTGGGAGAGCGGCAACCAAGACATAAAAATCAAGCAAAAGGGGCCACTTCTTGATGGTTCCCGGACCGCCCCTCCAGCAGGCGGAGCACAATACTACTGTAGCCCAGGCGGCGAGAGACTGGACCCGGGGACGCAGAGCGCAAAGACAGGAGGGCAGGGCCGGCGTCACGTGACCCGGCCAGCTGTTGGCGAGGGCGGCGGGGGCCCACAGCGCTGCTTATCTGGGAAGCGGGACGCGCCGGGCGCCGCCTTCGCCACTGCAGCCTCAGCCGCCGATGTCGCCGCAGTAATCTGGCCGTGGCAGCGCCCGCACCTGGGTGGTCGCTGTCTCCGCAACTCAGGGCGGATCCCGGAGTCCACTGCCCAGCAGGTGAGCTGCGACCCTGAGCTCAGGGCGTCCACAGAGCCCCTTCCCTGGGCGGGTTTCCCCTTGGTCAGCCATCGCCGTCCCTCAGAGCCCAGGGTGCTGGGTTAGGCGAGCTGGGGATCTGGGGAATCAGCAGAGAGATGGTCTCGGCTGCGGACGGGGTGACTCGGAATCGGAGGCTGCGAGGGCTCAGGACAGGGACACCCCACTGCGGGGCGCAGGCACGTGCCCCCCCCC